GTGCCTGTGAAGGTTTTCACCAATAAGACTCTCTTATTTTTATTTCTCTCAGCTCCTGTCGCCTTACGGTGCCCGTGAGGGTTTTCGCCAATAAGACTCTCTCATTTTTATCTTTCCTACTTCCACCAGAGTGTTGCCCTTGTCATGAATTACCTTTACCTGCTTGACTTGGCATTTCTCAAAGACTGATCAGAAGGACTTTCTTTGGACCGTATCGTGGGTTTTTGGACGGGGTTTAGAAAGAAAAGGGTATAAAAGGCTAAAAAACAATTCAAAATGGGTTAAAATTACAACTTTTGGAATCAAATCTTTCGCAACAAACACAACCTCTGCCCCAGTTTCTCGCTTGGGGACTTTTGGATTTTTGTTTTGGTGTGACTGAACCTCAAATGGAGGCTACCTACGTACCCTTTCGGGATCAAGTCAAACGTAGTTCACGTCATAGAAATTACTTTGTTGTTGTGATTTTTCTTTCTCTTCTCTTTCTTTTGTTTTTCTGTTCTTCTTTTCTTTTCCCTTTCATATTTCCTTTTCTTTCTTTTCTTTTCTTTCTTTCTTTTTTTTTCTTCATTTTTCTTCTTCTTTTCTTTTCTTTTTCTTCCTTGTTTTTTTGCCTCACTTACCTATCCTCCGCACTTGCATTTCTAAATTGTGCCATTGATTCCGAAAGAGGGATATGAAAGAAAATAAACAAGGCTCAAAGGGGTAACAAAGGAGTAAAGTGTTTAGATAGCAGAACAAAACGCCTTCGTCATTTCAATCTTCAAAATATGCCAAATACAAACAAATACAATTAAAAAAAGAAATCATACATAGTATCTCTTGACCGCATCGGAATTGATAGCCATTTCTACACACTTTCCTTCCACATCTGTCAAATATAGTGCACCATTGGACAACACTCTGGTTACAACGAATGGTCCTGCCAGTTTGGGGCGAACTTTCCTTTTGCTTCAACCCAATGAGGCAAAATACGTCTCAGCACTTACTGTCCCACTTCAAACTTCCTCGGACGCACTTTCTTGTTGTATGCTCTTGCCATTCTTTGTTGGTACAATTGGCCATGACACACTGATGCCAATCTTTTCTCATCGATCAAACTCAACTGTTCCAGGCGGGTTTTCACCCATTCATCATCATCGATCTCAGCCTCCGCGATAATTCGTAGGGACGGGATTTCCACTTCTGCGGGTATCACTGCTTCGGTGCCATACACCAATGAATAAGGAGTCGCCCCTACTGAAGTACGAATAGTGGTGCAGTACCCCAAAAATGCAAAAGGCAGCTTTTCATGCCACTGTCTAGAAACCTCTACCATTTTTTGAAGTATTTTCTTTATATTCTTGTTGTCCGCTTCAACCGCACCATTTGCCTTAGGGCAGTATGGGGTAGAATTGCGATGGGTAATCTTGAACTGCTCACATGTCTCTTTCATCAAATGACTATTGAGATTAGCTCCGTTGTCTGTAATGATCACCTTTGGTATCCCAAACCGACAGATAATGTTTGAATGCACAAAAGCCATCACAGCTTTCTTGGTTACGGACTTGAACGTTTTGGCCTCTACCCACTTGGTAAAATAATCTATAGCCACAAAAATGAACCTGTGCCCATTTGACGTTGCTGGCTCAATTATGAATCCTTGGAATGTGCCTGAACTCTATTGACTGAAACTGTTGACAAAGATCATGCAAGCATTGTCGGTACGGTATAAGCTTCAAGTCCCGTGTTTCCCATTCTCCTTGAATTTGGTGTACCAGTAGGTCCGAGCCACCCATGACCAAGACTTCCCGGACACCCATATCTACAGCTAACCTCAGACCCAAGATACATGCCTCATATTCTGCCATGTTGTTAGTACAATAGAAACGAAGCTGAGCTGTAACAGGGTAGTGCTGCTCTGTTTTAGAAATAAGTACTGCTCATATCCCCACGCCTTTCATGTTGGACGCCCCATCAAAGAAAAGTTTCCATCCCCGCTTCTCAACTTGTTCCAACTCATCATTGTGCATCACCTCTTCATCAGGTAAATAAGTCTTCAAAGGTTCATAATCCTCATCAACTGGATTCTCGGCCAAATGATCCGCCAAGGCCTGTGCTTTCATTGCGGTCCGAGTCACGTAGACAATGTCAAATTCTGTAAGCAGGATCTGCCACTTTGCAAGCCTCCCTGTAGGCATGGGCTTCTGAAAAATGTACTTCAACGGGTCCAACCGAGAGATGAGATAGGTGGTGTATGATGACAAGTAATGTTTCAATTTCTGCACTACCCAGGTTAAGGCACAACACGTCTTCTCAAGTTGAGTGTACTTCACCTCTTAAGATGTGAACTTCTTGCTGAGGTAATAAATCGCTTGCTCTTTCTTTCCCGTGATGTCGTGTTGCCCCAGTAAACAGCCAAAAGAGTTATCCAAAACTATCAGATAAAGAATCAAGGGTCTTCCCGGCTCCGGCGGGACCAACATGGGTGGGTTCGACAAATACCCTTTTATCTTATCCAAAGCCTCCTGACATTCATCCATCCACTTGACTGCAGCATCTTTCTTTAACAGCTTGAAGATTGGCTAACAAGTTGTCGTGAGCTGAGCAATGAACCTGCTGATATAATTCAATCTCCCCAACAAACTCATCACCTCGGTCTTATTCCTCGGAGGTGGCAGTTGCTGAATAGCCTTGATCTTTGACGGGTCTAGTTCAATACCCCGGCGGCTGACTATAAATCCCAACAAGTTTCCAGACGGCACTTGGAAGGCGCACTTTGCAGGACTGAGCTTGAGATTGTACCTGCGAAGCCTTTGGAAGAACTTCCTCAGATCCCTGACATGGTCGGACTGCTTTCTAGACTTCACTATCACATCATCCACGTACACCTCAATTTCCTTGTGTATCATATCATGTAATATTGTTGTCATTGCCCTCATACAGGTTGCCCCAGCATTTTTCAAACCAAACGGCATGACCCGATAACAGTATGTTCCCCACGGCGTAATGAATGTCGTCTTTTCTGCATCCTCCTCATCCATTAAGATCTGTAGTACCCTGTGTAACAATCCACAAAAGAACCAATCTCATGTTTGGCGCAGTTATCAATCAATATGTGGATGTTCGGAAGTGGGAAATTGTCTTTTGGACATGCCTTATTAAGATCCCGATAATCAACACACACCCTGGTCTTGCCATCCTTTTTTGGCACAGGCACAACGTTGGCTAACCAGGTGGGATACCGCGTGACCCGAATGACTTTAGCATTGAACTGCTTGGTGATCTCTTCTTTGATCTTTACACTTATATCCATTTTGAACTTTCTCAGCTTCTGCTTGACAGGAGGGAGTGCTGGGTCAGTGGGCAATTTGTGAACCACTAAGTCAGTGCTTAGACCCGGCATATCATCATATGACCATGCAAAAATATCTTTGTACTCAAGCAGTGCTTTAATTATCTCTTCTCTGAGCTGCAGTTCCAAATGGACACTTATTTAAGTTTCACGGACATTATCTTGGTCCCCTAGATTAACTGCTTCCGTGTCATTTAGGTTAGGTTTGGGTTTTTCCTCAAAATGGCTTAATTCCTTACTAATTTCTTCATAGGCCTCGTCATCATCATATTCCAACTCATCATCACGCTCAATTTCTTGTATTATTATTTCCGAGTTAGATGGGCTTTTAAAACTGGGCTGAAGATTCCTCATGCATGTCATGTCATTGATATCAGCATAAAAAGAACTGTACAGAGAAGAAAAGAAAATGAAAACAAAATTAGGAATGAAGAAAGAAAGACAATTGCATTTCATTGAATATAAAGATAACGGGGCTTTAACACATCCAATTGGACGGAACATAATATCTGAATTACAAACCCTGGAATAATCCAGACAATAAAAGGAAATCAAAACCTACTACCAAGACTCCCTCCGAGTAGGAAGAGGAGTAGCCTCCCAGTTGTTGACTTTTGCACGTGGTCTGACGAACTGCACATTTGCCTTGCTTGAACCTTCCCCTGCTTCAACCTGTTAACCTCAGCGAACAACCTTTCAAACCCCTTGTCCAAGTCTCCATCAGCATCAATCAATGACCCAGAAACTTTTGACAACAGTTGCTTTCTGATACCCGGCCTGACGAATGATCTGGACAGACGTGGGATTGGCTTGGGAAGGACCCATGCTCTCTTCTTCATTTTGCGGGCCCACCTTACATCCGCAGCTGTGGGCTTGAACCCCAAACCAAAAGTATCCAGATTCTTGGGAAGAGAAACTGGCTGCACAATGCCTTGAAGATCAGCACCCAAACCTTTACCAGGTATGAATCCGTTCTTTATCATTTCCGAAGCCACCATGACGGATGCAGCAGCTACCTTCGGCACAGGAATACACTCTCCTTCCGGGATCTTTTCAACTGATACCGTGTCTAAGACTTGATAAACCCATGGACCTTTGTCGTCCTCAGCTTCTATGAAAGGCATAATGGCATCACTTAAAGCGCACATATTGTCTTCACCGTGCACTACAATCTCCTGTCTGTCCCACTCGAACTTGACCATTTGATGCAATGTAGAAGGCACCTCCTTGGCGGCGTGGATCCATGGTCGCCCCAGCAAGAGGTTATAAGAGACCACCATATCTACTACCTGGAACTCCATAGTGAACTCCACTGGCCCGATTGTCAATTCTAGTATTATGTCGCCCACTGAGTCTTTACCCCCACCTTCAAACCCCCGCACACAGATGTTGTTCTTATGAATTCTTTCATCGTCGACCTTCAGCTTGTTCAACGTGGACAAAGGACAGATGTTTACACTAGACCCATTGTTAACCAGCACTCGAGTGACTACAGAATCCTCACACTTCACTGTCAGATAGAGAGCCCTGTTATGTTCCGTGCCCTCCACGGGCAACTTATCATCGGAGAAGGTCACTCTATTCACCTCAAAGATTTTATTTTCTATCTTCTCTAAATGATTCACCGAGATCTTATCAGGGACATGGGCCTCATTCAGTATTTTCATCAGCGCCTTGCGATGCTCATCTGAGTGGATAAGCAATGAAAGCAATGAGATCTGGCCTGGTGTTTCCTTAATTGTTCGACGATAGAGTAATCCTGCACTTTCATCTTTTTCAAGAATTCTTCTGCTTCCTCTTCTGTCACGGCCTTCTTAACCAGTACCGGGTTGTCTTTGGAGACCCTAGCTTTTCTTAACTCCTCGGGGGTAAAGCACCTTCCCGAACGAGTCAGACCCTGCGCCTCACAGACTTGTTCTTTGATTTCTTTCCCCTTATATGTCACCACCACCTGTTCATAACTACAAGGAATGGCTTTGCTGTTGGTCACTGGCAACTGAGTTACTGGCTTTATGATAACAGGCTCTATGCGAGCTCCCTTCACGACCACCACGGGTTTGTTTGCTACCCTTTGTATCACTACTTTGATCGGCTCTGGTTTTACTGCAGCAATGCTTGATGACCCTTTCTTGGCTACCACATCTGGCTTACTGTCCGCCCCTTTCAACTAGACTACCGCTTTCCCACTGGTTAACATTTACTTTGGACTGATTTCGCTAGCACGGATCATCATTACCATTTGCGAGGGTTTCTTGGGCTCCCATCCCTTTTGTACAAATTCAATCATGTGGGCCTCGTGGTGAGCCGGCAACGGATTCTGGTTAATATTTGGTGAATCTGGGGCCTGAACCTCGATTCGGTGAGTGTCAATGTGCTCCTACACAGCTATCTTTAGTTTCCAACACTTCTCTGCATCATGTCCAGGGGCCCCCGAACAGTATTCACAACTTACTGAGTGGTCCAGATTCTAGGAAAGGGGTTTGGCATTTTGGGCTCAATTGGATTCAACAGACCTAACTGCCTCAATTTTTGAAAAAGAGTGGTATATGATTCACCCAGCGGAGTGAAAGTCTTTTGCTTCTGTAATCTCTCATTTTTGAAGGCTGGGTTTGGGCTGTGACCCGCTTCGGGGGATTTCTGTAGGCTCTTGGGGGTGGATAGGGGTTTTGTGGAGCTGGGTATGAGTTATGGGGAGCCGGTGCACGCCATTGTGCGTGAGCCGGAGGCTGGGTATAAGTTTGAGCATGGTGGACGGAAAAATGTGGATCTGGCGGTGGGTAATAGTGTTGTGGAGGGATATATAGAGTGTATGGGTAATTTTGGTGGTGGGGTCGGGGTTGGTTGTAGTAGGGTGAAGGGCCTCTAGATCTGGACCAAGCTCCGGACTCAACGGTTGCAACCTCTTCTTTCTTCTTTTTCCTGAGCACGCCCCCAGTGCCGCTTTGGATGGCCTGTGTGGTTGCTTTAATCGCTGAATAGCTCATGATTTTATTGGATTTCAGTCCTTCCTCAACCATTCCTCCCATCTTCACAACTTCATTAAAAGATTTGCCAATTGCGTTTACCAAGTGACCAAAATAAGTCGGCTCCAAAGCCTGCAAAAAGTAATCGACCATCTCGCTTTCTTTCATAGGAGGGTCGACCCTCGCGGCCTGTTCTCTCCAGCGGAACCCATACTCCCTGAAGCTCTCCCCGGGCTTCTTCTCGAGTTTTATCAGTGACAGGCGATCTGGAACAATTTCTAGATTGTACTGAAAATGGCAGGCGAACGCTTGTGCCAAGTCATCCCAGGTATACCACCTACCATGGTCCTGTCGTGTATACCACTCCAAAGCAGACCCACTCAGACGCTGGCTGAAGTACGCCATCAGTAACTCATCTTTTCCACCTGCCCCTCTCATTTTGCTGCAGAATCCCCTCAGGTGGGCTACCGGGTCACCATGCCCGTCATACAGATCGAACTTAGGCATTTTGAACCCTGCTGGTAACTGAACATCCGGGAACAGACACAAATCCTTATAGGCCACACTGACTTGGCCACCCAATCCCTGCATGATCCTGAAGGATTGCTCCAGCTTTTTACTTTTCGAAACATCTCTTCCTGCTCCGGGTGCTTAAGCGGCTTTTCAGTTTCCACCGGGAGCTCAAAGTGAGGGGTGTAGGAATATGGCTCGGGAGCTTTAAAGGTAGGCTCAGGAGGGTAGTACTGGCTATCGTGAGTTTGAAACAGTGGCTCACTGGAAGATCTTGGCAATGTGGCAGGTGGAGGTGCCACAAAGACAGGGGTGATTGATGGAGGAGGATTTTGTTTGGGTGGTGGAGCTTGGGGAGGGTAGGAGGTGGTGCCATAACTCTGTTGGTAGAAAGGGAAAGCTGGAGATGAATTCACAGTAGGAGGCTCCTGAGACTGAGCCAAAGGTGGGATATAGGCTGGATTGGCGGGGTAAACTGGCGCCGGCTGCCCCTTAGCCCAGGCCTGATGCATTTCGGCCATTTGCTGCCTCAACTTATACATCTCTTCCCTCATTGCATTAACATCCATCACCTCTACCTCTTTCGCGGGGTCCACAATACTGGTATCTGATTCTTGGCCTGTCATTTTCGCTTGTCTTTTGATCGGGTGTTGTAGGAATGGGTTGCCAGAATGCCAATCAACTAACCACCTGCCAGGACTTAAGATCAACAACAACTTGGTTAATGGTTAGGGCAGTGACAGATTTGATAACCACACATTTTGGGGAATGAATGCGCCTAAGCAGTTAACGGTTTCTATTATGCATTTGCTCTACTGCTTGCGTCATCCCGACTTTCCTTATTCCCGATTTCAACTTCTTTTCTTTTCTTTTCGCTCTTTCTTTCTCACTCTTGCCTTTGTTTCCTCTTTGTCCTTATTTTTCAATCCCTCTTGTCTTGCCGATGTTTCTTTCGTTTGGGTTCTTATTTTCTCTTTTGTTTTTCTTTTCTCTTTTTTGTTTTTCTTTCCTCTCTTGTTTTTCACGTGCCTCGGTTTTTCTTGTTCCTATTCTCTCCTTTCTTCAAAATTGTTTTTCCGCTTGTTTCTTTCCTTTTCTCTTGCTCCCTTTTTATTTTCTCTTTTTGCCTTTTTTTTGTTTGTTTTTTATTACGGTCGAATCCTATGGAGATTGCCTACGTATCATGACCCCGCATGAATCAGACCAAGCGTAGTTCTTGCAAATAAATGTAAAATAGAAGCAAAATGTTTTGGGATTTTCAATTTCATTGATAGCAAATACTTCGATTACAAAGACTCAACACTGACAGATTAAAACAACTAACAGACTCTAATGAAGAGAAGAACTACAGACTCCACCATCCCTATTCTATTTCAAACGAACATACAGACTCAATCAACTGACTGACTTTTAACGAAAAGAAAATACAGACTCAGACAGCTGACAGCCTCTAGTAGAAAAGGAAATACAGACTCAAATGACAGTCATGAGTACATTAAAGCTCCTGGTGCCCGCGGGACATCGTTCGGTCTCGCCACGGGCCTATATGCAAGTTCCCGTTGAAGTCTGTCCAGGTCACTCATTATCTGCTTCACAAATATCATCAACGATGCAAAGAAGGTGGTGCGAGTCATGTTCTCGCACACTTGGCATTTCCTAGTAATGTAGCGAGCAACGGTTAAGATTCTCTCTCTGATTCTGCCCTTTTCTTGAAGCAACCGCCCTATCTGTTGGGCCCTGGCCTCCAAAGTCTGCTCGGCTACCTGGTTTTGTTCCTGGAGTTGTTGCAAGTCCATTTCTAATTGTGCCAACACCGTGTAGCAGTGCTCTCTTTCAACCTTGAATTCTTTCGCATGTTTGATCATTTTGTTCTCTGTGGCAATGACCCTTTTCTTTAATCCCGTGAACTCATTATCGTATTCTTCTTCAACTGCTTAACCATGCGGGCCCGTTCTTCCGCGTTTTTAGCCAATTGTTTTCTAACCCCGGCTAATTCCCTTTCTGCCTTGTTGAGGTCAAAACTGTAGTCACTCACTTTTTGTCTTAGATTTTTGATAAGCTTTGCAACCCTTGGCACTCCTAACGGGATTTTCAGCCGCTATCTTCATCTTTTGGAGGGCTCGTAAGGCTTCATTCTCTTTGGTTAATTTCTTCTTCTCACCCTCATCGGCTGCGGCTTGCACACTATTTTTTAAACTGAAGGTCTCGGACTTGCCTTTCCAATTCTCCTATTTTAGCTCTGTATTCATTTTCTTTAGCTAGCCAGGCCCATTGTTCTTGCGATGATTCGGCAAAATCCTGGAGGTGAGGTCTTTTAGCCGGCCTCCCAAATGCAACTTCCCTTCTATACCAGGCATAATACTCAGGTGACACTTCTCCTTTAGATCGATCCTGTACACAGGTATTCGCCACCAAGTATTGACATTCGCTCCAGACCTGGCGAACCTTTGCTTCAGGAAACTGGCCATCAGGACCAATCTCAACCACTTGGATACTAAGATCGTCGTCTTTTGACACTACATGGCATCTCCCGAGTTGCCTTAAAACCCGATACGGAGCATAAGGCTGAATGCTCTTATGACCCATCAAGAGGAAGTGTGGCCCCGCTGTTGGCATATATATGATTTCATTGACAGGTAACCATCCAAACGTCCACTCTATTTGACTGGCAGTGAGGGACCGAAAGTATGACGTCCAACCCGTGACTCCTTCAGGCAGGCTGACCCCCTTAATCCTCGTATAAAACTCCTCTATACAAGTTTTCTTTGTAGACCCATAACTCAGGAACTGAGGACGATGGCACAGGTGTTTGGTCATGCACATTTGCAACAATAGATTGCACCCCTCAAAGAAGTCTCCCCCGGCTTTGCAGGCTGTAAGAGCGCGGAAGATTTCAGCTAATATCATGGGCGCAAGAGTGCTTTTGGCTTGAGTGAGTAGAGTGCTGACGACCCCGGCTATTATTATGTCAATGTTCCCATCTTTCCTCGGGAATACCAAAAGCCCCAAAAAGACCACCATAAAAGCAAAGCGTCTATGTTCTTCCCATTTTTGGCGGTTTCCTTTGCTACATATCTTGTTTTCCGGGTTGTTGAACCCTCCTATGTGGCCATCTCTGTGGTATATGAAGTGTGGAGTACAAAAGCCATTCGCCAAATCTGTGTTGTGGACCGTCCTGCTTATCTTCAGTGAGTCTAAGAATCTGTGCACAGCTACGGCTCTCGGGGAAACCAAGTACTTGTGTCTTAAAGGAACCTCAGCATTCCGATGTATCCAGCTATTTCTTCTAAGGTCGGGGTGAGTTCAAAGTCTTAAAAATGGAACACGTTGTGTGTCGGGTCCTAGCATGTGACCAATGCTCTTATGATGTCTCCCCGAGGCACAATCTCCAACAAACCGGTAAGCCCTTTCAAATATTTTTTGACTTCATCTTGCCCTTCTCCTCCTAGATCGTTCCACCACAGACGCAACTCCAAAGGGATTTTATGCATGATTGAGAAAGGTTCATTTTGAATCGTGCTCATCCTGCACATTTATTAAGGTGATTTAATCATTTATTTTGACCTAAAAGGGAAAAATGACACTATCTTTTATTCAAATTTCTAATTTAAAACAAACAGGGCGCCCTTTTAGGGGCATTCGGCTTGTTTTAGACAAGAATAGCCTCACCTGACTTATTGATGACAAAATAAAATTTTTTGTTGTTTTGGGCTATTTTTGCAAAAGGGCAGTTGGACCCGATGAGGGTTGCCTACGTATCCCACACCCTGTGGGAATCAAACTGGCGTAGTTCGGGCAAACAAAACAAACTATTTTTGAAAACAAGACTCTTCTTTTCATTTTTCATTGGTAAATAAAACTAACTATTCTTGAAAATAAGACTCTCTTTTTTCCTCTTTTTCATTTTCCATTGGTAAATAAAACAAACTATCTTTTTAAAGACAAGACTCTTCTCTTTTTTTTCCTTCTTTTTCAATTTTTCTCAAAAATTTGGCAGAGTTTCGACGCTATTTGGACATTGGTTTTTCCCCCAAACAGGTAATTATCTCTCTTTAACCCTCATACCGCTATTTCTTTAAAAGTCGGTCAGCATGCAAATCCAAAACAGATAAATGCACAAGTAGGATGCATCAGGATGGTCCATTATTCCGGGTACACCTGTCCTAGACGGACCCAACCCCTGTGTTGAGTCCCCTAAGTCAAAATGCTCGTGATGCAGATAAGCGTTCCTACTAGGGATCCGGCATGAAGTCAAGTTATTCTAGGTTCAAAACCTGAGTATATGTTCTAGACTGTGTACCCGAGCGGACAACTCGAGTCGAGGAGGGGGCTACGTACCGAGAACCAAAAGGCCATCCGGCTTAGTAACTTGTCCGGCCTCTTTCTTATTTTAAGGTATGACACTAACAGAATAGGGAGTCTCAACCAGTAAGCACATCCCCGGATATGAGAAGAGAAGGGTTTCGTCATAGTTTATATACATTCCAGATAATATCAAAGCGGTAAAGCATTTAGCACATAAGGCATGAAACATGTAGAAAAATCAGATAAAGCCAAATATAACAATTTAACTGAGCTCGAATTCTTGAACCCTGAACTGAAGTTCTGGGTTTGATCCCCAGCAGAGTCGCCAGAGCTGTCACACCTCCTTTTTTCTACACCCCCGGAAGAGGGTAAAGGAGTTTTTCCAATTAAAGGACAATCGAAACGGGATTCATTTTATTAAGAATCAGAGTCGCCACTTGAGAGATTTATGGTGTCCCAAGTCACCGGTTGAATCCCGAACCGCGGAAAAGAATGACTCTGTTTGACAGTCTGCGAACCAGAAATCCAAGTAAGGAATTCTGTTAACCCGGGAGAAGGTGTTAGGCATTTCCAGGTTCCGTGGTTCTAGCACGGTCGCTCAACTGTCATTTTTGGCTTCTTTATTTGATTTTAGTACATGTTTTAACCTATGTGCTTTTTAACTTTGAATTGCTTTATTATTCTTATTATTATTATTTTTTTAAAGAGACTTGCAACGTCGTGAAAACACGTCTCGAACCACGTCACATAAATGCACCCGCGGTTTTTGACACATT